TTTGTGAGGCACCATTGACTTCCACGGTATGAAAAAAAATAACATGAAGTCAATGGTACCCCACAACTGTTTGGTTACAAAAATTCCTCAAAATGTCTTCTTTTGTGTTAAGCAACCTGAGGGTGAGTAAATGACGGATTTTTTTGTTTTGTCAACTATTTCTTTAAATGTCAGTTTTAATAACTTAAGTTAGAGCTGCATGATTCTAGATACAGAGAATCCCATTTTTTTTGTTTCAAACAGACATCACAATTCTGAACAGACAACTAAAAATAAAATTTAATTTACTAGAAGTTCTGACAAAATGTTAATGCTGCAGTCTATTTAAAATGCTTAATCTGAATTAATTTAAAAAATGGTCTGAATGAATGATTAAATAACATTAATACATACTTAACTTGTTTCATTACTGGATTAATCTGGGTTTTTAATGAATCTCTTAAATGAATGATTCAATGACAAATACATTTGTTTAACAGTCACTTGTCGGCACCTACTGGTGTAACGTCACTGATATAATCTTTATCTGAAGTGTCAACTTTGTTTCAAATGATTTGCTCCATTTTGATCGCTACTGTAGACTTCAGTGTTTATATCCAAACTAAATTTTTATCCCAGTACTTCTGAGATCATTTGAATAATTCTAACACAGAAAAAAACAAAAACTGTGACACTGTTTCATACCTACACATGACAACTGCCCTCTCTGTCTGGATCAGTAGGTGCATTGACATGAAGCATTGTGCTCTGAAAAAGCTCCATGTAAACAAATCAATTGAAATAAAAATGCTCAAACCGATTACAATTTCAATTGCTTTAGAAAGGTGGGATAAACCTTTTCTAATCCATTAAATAGAACATGTAAACACTTGATCAAATTGAAAACTGAACTAGAAAAGTTTTGCGCATGTGTATTGAAGTAGAAATTATGTTTGATGCACAAAATGAGCTGATGTTGTAATATTATATTAAAGAATATAATAAATGACTGCCGTGTCAATCTAAAATTCTCTTTCTACTTATTGACTGAAGTGGTGCAGGACAACGTTGTCCCACAAGTGACTGTTTCGGACTCTGATCTGCAAGACACCTTGTTTTAAGCATGGGAAGGGGTGTTTATTGCTTGGTTAGTATGAGCAGCACAGCACAAAACTTTGTGTGCTTGTCTCCTAATTAGGATTTGAAAAAAGACAGATGTTAAGTTTGCTTTTTAAAACAAATGGATGTTTACACCATGTCGACACCAGACGCGAGCAGCGCAGCACGGTGCAACTAAATGCAACAGAACCCATTATAATCAGTGACTCCGTCTACACTGGATGCGATGCGACATGATAAACCCCCGACAGCAAACTGATGCTTTGTTCTATTTATGATGTACTGACACATAGTTAAATGATTTTCAACGGTCGCTTTGTCGCGTCTAGTAGACAGACTTTAGCTGTTGTGCCATGGCGCAACATGACAACTGTCACGTCTGGTGTAGACACAGTGTTAGTATGCGACAACAACAATCGTTGTCATTTAGGAATAAGAGTAAATGGGGTTTGGATCTAGATTATGACCTTTTAACGATTAATCGTACAGCTCTAATTTCTGATAATATATGCGTCTCCATATATTTCTGATAATATTTTTATAGAAACATTACACTTAATTCAGAATCATAATTATACATTGTATTAAAGGGATAGTTCACTCAAAAATAAAAATGTCATCATCATTTACTCACCAAATCAGTTGACGGGCCCCATTGATTTACACAGTCATTTTTTTCCTACTACTGTATGGAAGTCAATGGCTACTATGAACTGTTATCACTATTCTTCAAATTATCATTTTGTCTTCAACAGAAGAAAGAAATTCATACAGGTTTGGAAAAACATAAGGGTGATGAAGGGTAAATGATGGTAGAACTTTCATTTTGGGGTGAACTGTCCCTTTAAGTAAATTATGTAAAATCAAATTAAGTAAAATTATTACATTTAGTAAAATCAAAACATCTCACATATCACAAAAGGTCAGTGAATCCATACCAGAAGTGACAGTGCAGTGTAGCAGATAAAGGACAATTATTCTGCCCTCGTTAAAGAGTTCCCCTTCTTGAACTAGGCAGATAGATAACTCCTTCCACAGTGACGTTGAATTGAAGCATGGATTTATTATGACCCCAAATATAAGTGGAACAGAGTAAAACTGAAATACAAAAAGATGAAAAAATAAGTTTCTACAGAATGTGCATTAAAGATAAGTAACAGTACACTTAAGGGATAACTGCATTGACAGAGAGAGATTGTAGCATATGTGCGGGGAATCTTGACATGCTCAAGCTCTTTTAATGAGTCTCTCCAAACTTTCCATTCCTTAAATTTCTCGTCTGGCAGAGGTGCGTCCCAGTCACAAGACTCTGTGGTTAGCGCTCTGAGCAGGAGTCTGCCCTGAATTACGACAGGTGCAGCAAACCCAAGTGGGTCAAACAAACTGTTGATCGTTGACAGAACCCCACGTCTGGTGTAAGGTCTCACCTGGTCTGCAACCTGGAAGATGAAAACGTCTTCAGACATGTCCCAGCTCACCCCCAAACTTCTCTGAATTGGTGGGAGGCCAGTGCTGAGATCTAGATTCCTTAACTCCTTTGCAAGATTATCTGGAGGAAATGCTTTCATAACTTCCACTTTATTGGAGGCAATCTTGTGAAGATGTAGATTAGACAGAGCCAGCATTTTCTGAGTGGCCTTGAGCAGCTTGATGGCTTTCTCTTCTGTGGAGAGGGAGATAAGGCCATCATCCACATAAAAATTCCTTTCCACAAAGTGCCTTGCTTCGGATCCATAGTCTTTTTCACCTGCGTGGGCAGCCCTCCTGGGTCCATATATGGCAACTGCTGGAGACGGGCTATTACCAAATACATGCACTCGCATCTGGTACTCCAGCACCTTGTTGTCTATGTCATTGTTGTCATACCAAAGGAAGCGTAGATAGTTCCGATGCTTTTTTGCGACCACAAAGGAATGGAACATTTGCTGAATATCAGCCACCACTGCCACACGTTCCTTCCTGAACCGCAGTAGAACCCCCAAGAGGCTATTGTTTACATTAGGGCCAGTAAGAAGGACATCATTTAATGATACACCTTGATGTTGAGCACTAGAGTCGAATACTTCTCTTATCTGGCCGCGCTTCTTTGGATGGTACACCCTGAACATTGGCAGATACCAGCACTCTTCATTATTCTGCAATTGTGGTGCCAACTCTGCATGCTCATTCTCAAATACCTTGCGCATAAAATCCACAAAGTGTTCCCTTACCTCGGGGTGTGTTTTTAGTTTGCGAGTCAGTAACGTGAGCCGGTTGTTGGCTTGAACCTTGTTATTCGGGAGGCGTTGCCGTGGGCTACGGAACGGAAGTGGGCCAACCCAGCTATTTGACTCATCCTGATGGAATTCTCTTTCCATAATCTTGAGGAAGGCAAGGTCATTCATAGAAGGAGCTGGTTTATCATCATTCTTTGTGTTGCAGAAAAATAATTCTCCTATCGGACACTCATTATGTACCAGCAAACTTCTCTGTTTAGGGTTCAGCGTGGAGGATTTCTGTGGCTCATCATGAAGATTGAAAAAATCCTTCACATGCATACTGTTTGGACATGGACTCATGTAACTGGGGCGCCCATTTCCTAAAATATGAGTTTTGAAAACATCAACCGATGAAGGCTTGTGAGCTCCGTTAAGACATACATCTCCAACTATCACCCACCCAAAGGCCAACCTCTGTGCAAAGGGAGCATGTTGTGGTCCGTTGCATTGCTCAAGCACCTTGTGTGCCTGAATGAGGTCTCTTCCGATAAGAATTAGAATTTTGGCCTTGGGATCTAGACATGGAATCTTGGAGGCTACTGATCTTAAGTGGTTGTGGTATTTTGCTGCCTCTGGAGTAGGAATCTCTGCTCTGTTGTTTGGGATGAGGTTGCATTCAATAAGTGATGGAAGAGCAAGGCATGTCTTTTCATCAAAGGACTCCACTATAAAACCTTCAGCTCTACGCCCTTCAGCTTCCATGACACCTGCACACGTCCTAAGTGTGTAAGGTGCCGTATTTTCTGCAACATTAAACATCTCGAAGAAGGCAGATCTTGCCAGAGATCTATTACTCTGATCGTCTATGATTGCATAAACCTTTTGTTTGTTCTGAGGCTCACCTTTTGGATACACATTTACCAGGCAGATCTTTGAGCAGGATTTTCCACTGCTGTGATCTCCACACACTTCTGTACAGGTGCATGTGGCGACTGGGGAAGGAGGCTCTTCTCGCTCCCCGCCATAGTTTGTAGAGGGATTGGTATCCTTCTTTTTTGACCAGGGGGCTGGGCCGTTGTGAAGTGCAGCTATATGCTTGTCGCTATTGCATTCAGAGCACTGTATTACTGCCTTACAGTCCTTTGCCTGGTGTGTAGTCGAGGAGCAGCATTTAAAGCATATCGAGTTCTCTCTGAGGTGAGCTTTGCGTTCCTGCAAGGTCTTTTCCCTGAAACATCTACACTTCCTGAGGGGATGTGGCTTTTTATGGATTGGACATTGTCTGTTGAGATTGTCACTTGCTTTGGTAGATTCATCCCTTTGTGTGGCATTGTCTATTTCTGTTTTGTGAAACAATCCTCCTCCAAGTGGCCAGTAATCAAGCTGCGTTCACGGCCTGACGATAAGGTTGCTTGGGCGTGCTCACTACTGGTTGCCCTCACAGCGAATCAGGTTTCTTGCTGCTAATTACAAACATTTTGGAGGCAAAAGACTAAATATAACAAATACAAATTAAATCCGTACATACAAACAAAAATTAATGAGAAGCAGAGCCTACTTTTTCCCCATTGCATATGTTTATCTACGTCTGAGAGGAGAACGATCACATGAGCTCTACCATCTTCTTTCCTACTGGCTGTTGCTCCCGAAAGTCACTCTTCATTTGCATAAAGTTGAAGGATTCTGAACATTGTCACATTGCTGGACATGCCCCATCCGGTCACCAACGGCCTCTGTCGTTCTTGTCGCCGGAAATCACCAGCTCTCCATTGAAATGAATGGGATCGTGTTGCTTTGACGTTGCGTGTCGCTTGTAGTGTGAACGGGGCTTCAGCTGGATCCTTGGTGAATCTGGAGTGGGGTGGGTCCTTTTAATAACCATTCTTTTAAACAATCTTAAACGTATTTAAATTGTACTGCCATTTGACATTATATGCCATTTAGACAACATAAACAAATGATCAGCTTTAAAACTAAGTAATGATTCAAAATTTAAACCTAATGCATGACAAGATTCATCAGAAAAATGTGAATCCCCCCAAAAAAGACAAAGAGGATTCACAAAAATTGACCCTTTCCATAGATATCATAAGGTAAACAACTGTAGCTTTAAAAAAAAAAGGCCAATTTGTATACCACAATCAAACCAACCTTCATATAATTTTCCCTGCAGCTGCATTTATCCTGATATGACACATCTGAAGGTTGTGATGTTCTCCAGTGAATTAAATAAAGGACTGATGATGGTGACAAGTTCTATTCCCCTTTTCTTGTGCCACCTCAGAGGAAGAAAGACAACAGGAAAAAAAGTTACTCATTTTCTATCACCAGTGGAGGAAATATCTTACAAATGTACTTATGATTAGAATCATACTTAAGATATTAATCCCAATGTGAGGTCTAGAAACGGTTAAAACGGAATAACATCTTACTGTATAGTCTCTGTGTTGGGTGCCTGTTTTCCCTGAAAAACGTGTGCTTTATCTAAAAATGTAAACCAATATCTTATCATTAGCAGTTATCAGTATTTGAAGAGGTGAAATAAAAATGTAAATTAAAATTACTCCGAAACTGTCATCGACACAAGCATAACAAATATAAAACATTTCTCAACTTTCCTACAGATTCCAGTGTTTCCGAGTGTAAATTGCAGTTTTCTCATTCACTGTACTTATTCCGATGCTCCTTTACTTCTCACAAGTTTGAGTTTTAAACTAGATGACATACAAACACAGCTCATTCGGACGCTGCATTGAAATACATAACTAACGTTACTAGCCAGAGCGCTAACGCTAATCGCGATTAACCTATCACTTTGATTTCCTCTCACTCACACAAATTATGGACACAAAACATAACTTTACGTTGGTTTGACTGAAAAATTTTGTGTTACCTGATATCGCCATATGTTTGCAGGACTTCACACGCAGTCTGCCCCTTCCTCTGTGTCAGTAATTAACAAATGGTCCCTCTGTAATCTCTTTGCCACCTCGAAAATTCTCAGTCCCTTAAAGTGTATACGGCCGGGAAGCAAGAAAACACATATCAAATTGTATTCTCAATACTTCAACTTTATTCATAGATACAAGGATATTATATAGGCATATGTCGAGGGGAGTTTCAACCCTTTAACCAATGAGGATATAGATGACATACATATAGGATTTTGGCCAAGAATATGT